CCAACCCGTTACTAGCGTGGTGTACCTAATAAAGTGGCCGGTGAGTGTATATATGTATGTATACACGAGGCTTTTTAGCTATTTGTCACCTTTTTGATGTTTACTTGTACTTTTTCTGCAACATTTCCTTTAGATTTGCAAAAATGTTCAAAATATGGTAAAAAGATTTTGTGATTTTCTTTTTCTTCTCCTAATGTACTTTCAGAGTTTTCTATAAATAAAAATAATAGGACTTCAGTCGCTGCAGTGTATGAGATTCGCCACAGAACATAATTTAATCAATATAGACCTTTATTAACTTTGCCAGAACTGAGCAGTAGTGAACAAAATCAATCTGTGTTTGCGTCAGAGCTTTGTCGAGCCTCCAGTTCTCACAGGCTTCACGGGTAATGCAATGAAGTACGAACTGAAAAGGCTTTATAATCACTAATGCTCTTTAATGCTGTTATTGGGTTTTCTGTTAATGTAGCAGTAATTAATAAACTTCAAACAAAAAATAAATACAATAATTGAACTGTCTTGGTAATGAACCCTAGGCATGAAAAAGATGGTTTGCCGGATTTATACATAATTTTTATTATTTACACTTTTTATTCATACTTTTGGCCCATTTAATTGTTTGTAATACATGTTTTTTGTACATAAAGTTTAAAGTGCCTGTGACATGCCTATCCATCAAATACAAAAGATCAAAGAAAATACATTTTTATATCACATAAATGGCCTATTTTTTTAACTTGGCTCAGCCAAAGTGCAACAGGAAGTGACATCAAAGGGGAACTCTTTAAGAAAGAGAACTCTCTGGTCTTTGTTTATCGAAACAATTTTAAACTCTGACTCGTCTTCATCTCTCTCTGATAGCGACTCAAAATAATCTAAAGAAACATCAGATTCTTCTCTACAGACTGTGTAGTTAGCCATTTTATCAATGCTTGTTCCATGCAGGCATTCCCCTTTGACATCACTTCCTGTTACTTCACATGCAAATATCTCAACAACTGTTCATCTCAGCAGCAGGAAATTATTTGTGCAATATGTTAATATTATTATCTTTTCATGAATGCCTTTATATTATTTCTTTAAAATTCACGTCACGGGCACTTTAAGTTACTTAAAAGCCCATCTTAGTGACTCATCCTTCTAATCTGACAAGTTTTCTCTTAATCTCTGTCAAATGGTTCCCCATGAGTATCATTAGATGAGAACATTGGCCAAAACTACAAGCGGGACACAAAAATGAAAAATGAGACATCACCTTGGCCCTGGACACTAAGACCCATTTGTCCTCCTCTTCTTATTTCCTCCTACGATCCATTCTCGATGTCAGGGAGTGGTGTCTCCACGGTGTATGGGGGTCCGTCCCCACGGCCCCTGCCCACCTCCTCCACTTCCACCTCCTCCTCCACCACCGTGATCTTTGTCCGACTCTGGCTGGCTCTGGGCTCGCTCCGGCTTGGGGTTGGGCGTGCAGGGCGGGTCGGGCTGCTGGACCGACATGGTCCTGCGCAGGTGGGTGCGCTTACACAGGAAGTCGGGCTTCGCCGAGAGACCGAACGAACCTTTTCTCAAGACCATGCGAACCGAGGGGGATTTCTTGGGCCTGGCTCTGTGGCCGAACTGAAGGGTGGAGAGGTGTGCCGCGTAGCCCTCGCTCAGGAACTACACAGAGAGGTAAGAAGATTAAAGTAAATGAGGGGAAAACCGACGCTTTTAAAGTGAGAAAAGCGAAACAGGAGTGGCATGAAACGCTACTCAAGCAGAGATAAGAGACACAAATGAAAATCCAGCTACCTGGCACTGATTCTGGTACTTCTTCGAAGGTCTGCCAACAATATAAATCTGTGAGGGGTTGAGGCCTAACATGTTGTAAACAGAGATGTCCTTCATGGAGCCGTAAGAAGAGTTGATCTTAATATGACACTGGCAAAAGAGAGAAAAGAAATCCAGAGATGTGGTTGGCATTTAAATGCAGCGTAACCCAAGGCTACAATGGCACACGAGAGACACCCGGAGCGAACCGGAGCTCGTGCCGTAGAGCAAAGATTAACTGCCCCGTTAATGTCAGAGTGATATTTTATTCTCAGCGGCCTACCTCGTGTATGAGGTTTCTGAGGAAGATGGTCTTCTGTCGCAGGGGATCATGTACCAGGCCTTCAGAAAAGAAAATCATCCCGTGGGGGAAGTTGTGCTGTGACAGCCATGATACGACACGCTGCTTCTGCATATCAGGCCGGCCTGTGATGTAGATGATAAGATACCCGAGGTCCTGCCAGTGCCTGCGTTTGAAAACACAGCATAAAAAACAAACGTCAAAGAGACTTAATGTTAGGGATTTTTAGAGGGCTAAAAGAATCTCCTGTTAATCCAAAATTTCTAACAATATACAAGATAAAAAGACAAATGCTGCATATTTGAGTTCTTTTTAAAGAAAAATCTATTCATTTCTCTTTTTAATGAAAAAAAACCTTCAAAAGGAAATCAAACAGCACTACAGCATGAAGCTCCCGAAAGGTTAGGATAAAGATTTTGCAGAGAACAACTTTTTTCCGTAACCTTGAAAAGACTTTTCACGCTGCTCCTCAATGAGTTCTGCATTTCCTCTGATCGATACAAAGACTCGATGACTTAATCCAGTTCATGTATAAAGAACTGCCAGTGAGGACAGACCCTGCCCGGGAAAAGAGGGATGATGCGACAGCTATTGTGGCGCATACAGAGAACATTCCTCATTTTAAAAGAGGCTGATTCAAAAACCAGCTGCTGTTTTTCAGCTGTGGTGACAGGCGTCTGATGTTCAAACCGTGTCTGCAGAAAAGTTCGATGAATTTTGTGGAACTCTGTTTCAAATCAACTGCATCGCAACCATTAAAAAGCCAGCATGTTACAGCTATAATCCAAACAACCCAGACACAGTCACAGCAATACTTATATCATCCAAAAATTAGATCTCAGCAGTGGTCTGTAAGAAAACTGCTGAAGACGTTTTCTTTTTAAATGCAGGTTTTGCAGAAATATGCCTGACTGACACATCTGAAGATGTACTGATACAGTATTAAAAGGTACAGCTACGTTTGGTTTCTTTTCCACTTGACTTTGAAGACTTTTGTACATACATGCTACAATACACACTCAGTATGATAATTATTTCTTTTGATGCACTGTTTTTATTTTATTTTTCTGTAAAATAAAAGCAATGTTTAAAGTGTAAGCTATGTAAAGCCATTTTATTCAAAATTAAATAAATAAATAAAATAAAAATATATTAAAAAGATGCTAAAAATGCATTTTAATATACTAATTTTGATGCACTGCATTTCATGGGGACATTTGTTTATTTGTTGGAATTCTTATTAATACTTCATTAAAATTACAGTATTTACTTATTTATGTAATTTATGTAAGTTCCTCAGAGCCCCCGCCCCGTCTGCAGAGACCTGAGCAAAATGGCCGCGAGCTGCGTGTCACAAAAAGTTTTGTATCAGAGTCAAGACCTACGTTTGGAACCGACAAGCGGTTACCTGACAACATCAACAGCTCCAGGCCGGACTTTGGGATCACTGCCCATGATGGACACGCTTGCAGCAAATGATCCGTCGATGCTGAAGACCACACACTCCATTCCTCGGGGCAACACCGTCAGATAGGCCTCTGCACTGGTCTGATCCCCTCTTTGGATTGAGAAAATGAGAAATACGAAAATATACTCACAATATACAGTAAGCTTGTTACCTGGATGTCTTTAGCAAAAAACATATAAACTAACCCGTTTGTTTCTCATTTATTAACATCACTATCTGCTCATTTTACTTACTTAACCACCATTTTAACTGGATAGACTCCCAGGTAAAGCTTCTTGGTTTTCGGTATGGTGTACGTGACTCTGCCGCTGCTGTTGGTCACCTCTGTGTCGAAGTACACCCACCGGCCAGACTGAGGTTGTGTCATCACCAGGATGTCGACCTGAGAGGAGCAGAGTCGTTCCGAGGATATAAATTAATGTCAGCCTCTATCAGCAGCGATAATCTAACGAGGCTGCAGCTTTTCACCTTTTCTCCCGTCAGAGTGACCATGTCCAGGGGGCCGTACATGAAGCGACCCACCAAAGTCTGGGGGCCGTCCTCAGTGGCGATAACGTCATTCACTCTGTGGTTGGCTGTGACGTTCTGCAGTTAACGACAACAGGAGCACAATCAGAGCAGTTTAATGGGATGCAAAACATAAAAACAGACAAAACACAATAGCAGAGTGGAACGGGAGCAAAAATTAAAATAGAATAAATTTTCATTAAATTTTCCTGGTGCAAAAAAAACAGGTTTGGCATGAAGACAAATTTGCATCACAGTCTCATATTTAGTACAGCAAATGAAAAAGGGTCTTTTTTGCATCCTTTATAGGAGCCATTTGTAGTTCTGGGTATGGGTTTGGGTTCTTATTTTGCTTTTATAGTTCGGTTTGGTTTGGTGGCAGTGTTTGTTTATTTGGATTGACACTTTGACCTATATTTTTGCTCTACCACTGGTGGYGGTGTGGAGGGGAAATCTATATAGGTGGCAAGGTGAGAAGGAAAGGTGAAGGGTGTAGGGAGGTCACACGGTTTTTACCGCTCTCTGTTAAAATGCTGGTTAACCTCTCTCATATTCACATTTTACCATAATTTTCCATCTATTTGGCAAGCTGCCATAGACCGCCACTCTGGACTTTGTAACATTTAATAATCAAAAATAATATAATAAATGGGAGTATCCCCAAACATATCTCCCAGTCTGGACATTATACTGATTGGAGCGCGTCAAATGCCTGGATTCCCCCGCACCCAGAAGCGACTAAAAGGTTGGATTTGATAGTCGCTACATCCTTTTTAAAACACTGAACTTGTGCACTTGTTTTATGGATTATGCATTTATTTGTTTTATTCTTTTATTTCATTACATGTAGAAATATTGATGAATGTGCACTGTCCTGTTAAATAAATGAATGAAATGAAACTTATTGCTCACATACTGTAGTACCAATATGTTTAAAGGAGAAGCTTTAAAGCAGGTTTATTCAAATGGCAGTCAGCGGGCCACGTCTGTCACACAAGTGACTTACTTCTGGCCCGCCGAAAATTGAAAAACATTTATTCTTTTGAATTTTCTTTTATAATTAATATAATACAAAACATTTTAAATCATTTGTAAATGTTACTTTTATGATTCAGCACAACAAAATGAATAAATTTACAAAGTAAAAGCTAATAACGTTTTTTCAGTTGTGTACTGCAGTGTCCACCCCCATCCTCCCGCCCAGAGCAATTTAGTTGAATAGACCTGCTTTAAAGTTTATGTATCTGCACTTAGTTTTGTAAAAAAAAAAAAAAGAAAAAAAAAGCTGAAGTGTAAAATAACAATTATTTTATCCTAAAATAATTCTAACTGTTTTTCTTTATCAGCTTGTGTGGCACACCTATAACATGATGACTATGATACGGAAATAAATATTAGTGTCTTTGTATCTGTTTGCTCAACAGGATGGAGCTGAAAAGTCAAGGATCTCATTTCTAGCAATGGTGAAGAATCTACCGTATTTTTCGGACTATAAGCCTCGACTTTTTTTCCTGAACTTTGAACCATGCGGCTTATAGACCGGTGCAGCTTATACGTGGATTTTTTTTTCTTCAGCCACCAGGGGGCTCTTATGCTCCATTTGCTTCAACCACTCGCTTCAAAAATAGAAAGGAAAAAAAAAGAAAAAAGCGATCGCTTCCAGAGCCGACTGTTGTACCAGGAAGCAGAGATTTCAAGATAGTCAATGGCCAAAAACTCATAAAAGAAGATAAAACAGACATTTTTCACGGTGGAATCTGACTGATAAAAACTTTGGAGCTTAATCCAGGACCAGTTTGTGGATAAACGTCGAGTGAAGAGCCGCCAGACTTTTTTTCCCTCATTGCACTCCCCGGGGAAGGAATCTCATGCAGTGACGTATGCTGGAGTGGGAGGGCTTTCCCACCACAGCTTCAGAGCCAGCATTACCCCGGGAGGACAGCAACACAGAAAGCAACACTGAACAGATACCGCTGTGTGACGCAGCTTTTCTCAACTTGTTATCTCCGACACTGAAGAGGACTTCGATGGTTTCAGTGCGCCGGAGGACGATGAATGAGACGTTTTGTTGGACCAGAAACTGTTAAAGAAAACTACCAAAATAAGGTCAGTTAAATGAACCATATTCCTCCGAACTTTAATTCCTAAAGGTTTGCTTTTTATGTTTTGATGATGAATTCACTTTTTTGATGGCAAATTTGGGTGTACTGTTTTTTTTATGTTGGGGGTGCGGCTTATAGTCTGGTGTGGCTTATATGTTAATGTTCGCGGGTTTTTTAAAAAAAATGGCGGGTGCGGCTTATAGTCCGGTGCGGCTTATAGTCCGAAAAATACGGTAATCAGTTTTTTTTAATCGGCTTGAAACAAGTCATTTTTATTCACCTCAGTTCTCATCTCTCAGACCTGAAATATTAGTTTAACACAAACAAATCATTATCCCTATTTTACTATTTTCTCCTCAACAAACAGTTTTACCTGATTCTTCAGGTGACATTTTGTTGGAAGCCAAATTTAAATAAAGGTAAAACATCCAAACTATTACTTGCCTCCATGTGTTTCATTTTCAGAATTCAACGCTGCCTGCGAGACACTGCAGAAAAACGTGTTACCTCCTTTTTTTAGCTTCCATGTCTGCTCCTTGTTTGAATTTCCTTCCAGTGATCCAGCAGAGAAACGCTAATCCTTAAATCTCTTCTTGCTGAAGCAGCTGCATTTTATTAGCATATTATGAGCACACTAATGTATAATTCACAAACTCAGTCGGTGCCACCATGGCATTCATTTTACACAGACGACCGACTTCTTTCAGCCCTGTAACCTTCACTTTATCAGAATGTACTTTTTTAACACCTGACTTTTCTCAGAAATAGTCACTCACTGAATTTGAATTTTTAGATTTTCTTTCAAATCGCTGGATTTTTTGGGGGGATCAGGTCATGAACAAATGAAGCAGAAAAGCATGAAGTGAATGGTAGCAACTGATTTGTCCTACAAATGAACTGGTTACTGATAGCTGTGATAAAACTGACAATAGTTCTCAGATGATTAGGTTGAACAAACCTTTAGATATAAAAAAAATTTAATATGTTTATTCTTCACAATTTCATTTGTTGAGGCATGCAAAGTAGTGGACATTGGGTTTTACAGATGTTAGAGCAGCTTCCAAGCAATCAAAAAGTTTGCAAAACGAATTGGCAGAGGTCAAAACTTCCTGGGTAAAAATCTCTCAGCAGCTCCTGAAACATTATAGACTTTTAGCACTTAACAACAATTGCAAAGATCTAATGGGATCAATCATGTTGTTGTTGTGCTTTACCGTTTCACCCGTCCCAGCTAATGATAACTGATCGAAAGGATGTGACACCTAACAAGGAGCTTCGACTTTTCCAGCTGCTCTCCTGCATCAGCTTTGTCAACAGCTAATTGTTTGCCGGCATGAGGTCTCACTGAAACTGCGACAGGAAACCTTCAGGGGAAGCACACAAAATTCAAAACGCACCTGTGTGTAGCGTTTGCACCGCGGGGATGCCTGACGGCGTTTATTTTCTGCCTTACCTCGGTATCGACGCCAGACCTAAATACGAAAAGGGAACACAAGCCGCCCCTCCAGCAGACAAAGGCTTCTTTAGCCAGCAAAGAAACCTCAGATGTTTACGCCAAGCGCCTGCTTGAATTATGTCTGAACTGCAGCAGATGTGCTAGCCGTGCACAGATTAAATCACCTAATCTGACTGTATTCAGAACGGAGCAGCAGCTTCAAGCCCCGACATCAGATACGCATCATTAGCTGAACAATTCCAACATTCAAAAGAGAAAAACTTCAAACTCAAATATAGCCTTGTTTCCATGGTATTCTCCTCCTTCAGATTTATTTTTAGCCTCCTAAAAAGCAAACACTCGCTAAGTTTTTTGCACTTAGAAAAAAAAAGGATAGAAATGTGACCTTGATTGTTCTACTTGCCAATGCTCAAAGGCATGTAACTGCCTGCCTCGGAGCTTCAAGGTAAAACCGTGGGAGAATTAGAAGCCAGCCACTGCATTTAACCTCTACAATTTCAGCATTTAAATAACTATATTTTTAGCTGGATGGAAGAGAAGGGCATCGTGTGAACCTGGAAGATGGAGTTTTTAAAGTTTAGACTCAGAGAAATGGATTTATGAGAAATAACGTCTCGGAGCACAGAACAAGTTTTGACAAAGTGTTCAAGAAACTTTGCCTGCCTTAACTGTGTCAGCTTAGTCACACTGAAACTCAGTTTTTATGAACTTAAAATAAATAAATGCATGACCTGAGCTATCTGATCCTGCAGGAAAGAGGTGAATTTTCCACATTGCTTCTTGCTTCCGAGCAGACGAATAAATTAGAGAATGTGGTGTTTTACTGAGGTTTAACGTACCGGTACTTCAGAGATGAAGTTTTAGATGAATGTGTCGAAGTAAAACTGCTTAATTTACAACTCTGTTCAACTATTATCAGTTTGAGCTTCTAATTACTGGCTTAACCACCACAAATTGTTTTATTTTTGCCAAAAGCGATTAAGAAGTTAGAGCAAACTGGCACCAAAGTACAGTTAAAGACAAACAGGTACCCTGAGTTTGACATGTGTCCTCCTCCTGAGCCATTTCTCTCGTGGGCTGGAGGGAGAGAAGGAAGCTGAGTCCAAGCTGTCCACTTCCTGCGTCTTCACACAGTCACACCGCATCAGCTTTCAACACAGACATGTGAGACGAGGTACATTTAGACAAAAAACAAGTCAAATCAATTCCTTCATGTCAGCAGAAAGCACACACCCCTGTATCTGTAATAATTCTTATTTCAGCTAAAACAAAAATACAGCAGTTAATGATGTGAAAAGGTTTACAGTTTGTGAAGTCGTGGAACTAAATTTGCTGTTTATAAATAAACAGTAATAGAGACTAACAAACTCTGGTTCAGTTTTAAAAGTTATGAAAGAATTCTAAATTGGAGTAAAAGTGTTAAAATGTATGTAGAGCAAAATAAGAAACATTTTATCTTTAATTACAAAAGTCAAAGAAAAATACAAGAAGGAAAAAAAATAATCCTGTGACTCTTTTACAATTCTAACAGTTCTAAAATCAAATCACCAAAGGCGGTAATCAAAATGACAGGTTTTTTTACTGCTTTAATTAAAGGAGGTGGAGCCCAGCTGTTCGCTAATAAACTGTAATTACAAACTGACAATTATAATTTTAAAATTAACTGAGCATTGCTTTAGAAGAAGAAAAAAACAGAAATTAGCCTTTATGATTGAAGCGATCCACAGCAATATTTGCTCTGTCCAATTAACTTATCAAACCCAGTTTATTATCTAAACTATTATTATGAAATGAACAAAAATATAACAATTTAACCGTATTCACAGAAACAGCTTCTGATTAAATATAATCAAACAGTGACTTATTATTGTTGACTAGACATACTGTATCAGCTTTATTTCTGTTGATAATATATTTGGAACAGAGTTACTAAGTATTGTAAACTAAGTCAAAATCATCCATTTTTAAATAACAAGCAAGTCAACTTCAGATAATTACAGCAGAGTAAGTAGATGCTGTTATTCTCTAAAGTGGAGTAGAAAGTTTAACAATCAAGAATTAGTGGCACTCAAGCTAAGGACAAGTATGCCAAATTTTTATTTCAACAAAAAAAAACTCTTTTAGAAAAGTCAAAATTCATGACATCCGTTTAATAATAAGGTTATCAAAAAGAGAAGTTTTCAAAGTGACATAACATCAAACCTGATGTACTATCAAATTTAAACCGAAACAAATAAAATAGAGTAAAATGTTTACAGAAGATCTCCACCTCAGCTCCAAGACTGTATCAGTTCATGTTTTAACATTGGAGGCAGTTTCTCTTCACGTTTCTTTTATTTTCACACCACAGGAACTGCAACGGACTTTGTAATTTAATCAACTTTTAAAAGAAATTTTTGCTGCGACATCATGCTGAACCTGCTCGGCAGGAAAACGATTGATGAAGCTTCCCTACCTGCCGAAGAATAAAAGCAGCGATGTCAGTGGACTCCCAGTAGGAGGCGTGAAAAAGATGCGGCAGAGCCACCGTTGGGAACGCTGTGAGCACGTCGGGGCAGTACAGGGCAAAGTCCAGCCTCTTGGAGCCCCACCAGCTACTGGAAACTGCAAGAACATGTAGTTACAGATTTTTGAAGTCAGTTTAAAATCTGTTAAAATCCTGCAACACAAAACTGTAAAACGAGGACAGCGAAAGCCGTTCCGCATCTCACTCACTGTTAGCGATGGTGTTTCCCAGCCGGCCCATGGACCAAGCTGATATTCCACTTTCCACACTGGTCACACTGGCTTTACGACCCCTTCCATCACCTCCTCCTTCGTTCTTTGCTTCAGAGGAATGCTGTGAAGCTGGACCTGCATGCTGCTCATCCTCCAAAAACACACTTGGATGGCTTTGGATACTGTCCACTGAAGAGAACGGAAGAAAATACTTTAATTAGAGAACAAAAGAACCACCTAAATCCTCAAACCGTTGCTGTAACTTGCCAAATAAGGTCCACACATTGATTGGTTTTGTGTGGGAGTCAAAGAAAACTCCAAACTGAATCCGTTGGCTTTAAAATTTAAAAAAAGTGTCTCTCAAGACAATTAGAATAATCCTTAAATTTGGTTTTATTTAGAGCCTTTTTTTAGTTCATTATGTGATGTTATTTCTGGAGTCTCAAAGCTTATTTTATCAATAAGCTGTTTATTACAGAGAACAAAAATAAATATGAACATGAAATTCAACCTGGAACACATTTAAACAAAAATCTGAATCCTCTGTGGAGAAGTGGTTCAAAATGTTTTGACACATTAGATGAATTAGATTTTTATTTACTTTATCAATTGAAACAGCAAGAAGCTGAAAAAAAACTGAAAGTAGAATAATTTTCCCTAAATATTCTGAAAACAGCTTGCTTTTTTAATCACCTATAGTGCAGCTGCTTTGTTCTTAAGGATAACTTTTATTTACTTCCTCAGCTTCAACTATCAGACGAGCTTTCACAGATTATCTTGAACTATTCTTGAATCAGTAAAAATAACTAAAAGTGTCAAAGCAGGGGTGTCTTTTTTTGCGATGAACCAATAAAATGTTTGAAATCATCAGCAATTAAAATAAATGACAAAAATCAGTCAAATCTCAGTTAGATACATTGATAAAACAACTCATCTGAAGAGATGTGATGATAAACTCAGACATGCTAACAAAGCTAGCACGTGCTAAAACATCAACAAATGCAAACAAAAGAAACAAACCAGTATTGTTTTTTAGAGCCACAAGATAAACCTTTGCTTTAATCTACAGCACAGTTTTAAAGGCTTTTATTCTTTTATTCTAACGGTGTTTGAATGCAGGAGTTTTTGGTGACACTCAATGCAGGTCAGATGGTTTTGTATTTTTAGTGTTTTTGCTCTTGAATTTGTTGGTGCATTCAAAATGTCCACATTTTGTTGATTCTGTTCCATAACTGTGGACAAATTCTTTTTGAGTTCTATTTTAAACTTCTTCCCAGAATCCACAAACTCTCTGCTGAAGGCCTCTGGGATTTCTTTGAGTCTTGGAATCCTGACAACATTCTTTGAAAGCAAATAAAACACTGGGTTGTGGAGATTGTAGAGGTCTGATCAAGACAAATCCCCTTTTTTAATCACTCTAACAAACACTAGCAGACCGCACACAGCTGCAATTTTTCTCTTTCTTCCACTTCAATCTAACTTTTATTGGAAAATAAATAAAACACATTTATCTTCCAGTCACTCCTTTCTGTCAAGTGTGAACTTGATGTTACCTTGAACCTTTTTTTCCCTCCTCACAACCAAACAAACCAGCAGCTCTTCTGTTTGTTCTCTTGTTTTATCCTGAAGTAGCTCTCTGAGAGGTTATCTGCTTCAACCCTCTTGTGGCTCATAGGAGTTACTGATCACTGGGAAGTCTGACCTCAGCAGAACTTTTCCAAAAGACAAGACCATAAGGACTCACTTGAGACTCGTCTCTAGCAACAACAGCAGGGTGGCCTTAAAGAAACAAGAGCTTTCAGAGGCTATTCTACAAGAACAAAAGAATCCTCACATTTTTTTATTTATCATTTCCTCCTCACCTGCTGTGGATTTAGTTGCAATTTCTCACTATTCTCTCAGTACAGCCCTCAGTATTTGTGGTCTTTATTTAAAAGTTTTCATTCCAGCTCTTAGTTCTTGTTTTCTGACTCTCATGTTATAAACTTAGCACAAAAAGTAAGGAAATCTATGTTTGGTGGATTATTTCTTTGTTGTAACAATGCTTCTTGGCAATAAAACGTATACAGTTGGAAAGCCTGTTAAATTTCCTTTTAAATAGTGCCATATTTGTAAGGAACATGCATTTGTGGGATGATTTGTGGGTCGCACACATGAAAAACTTGCAAAATCCTCTCTGCGATTGCCAAACAAGACTATTTTGCTGTTGCTACTGATGATTGTTTAGAGCTTCTGGTACCGTCAGGTGCTGCCAATCAGGTGCCAGGTGTAAGAATTGTTACAACGAATAAATAATCTACCAAACACAAATGTATTACTTTTTGTTTTAAGTAAATTTGTTCCTGATTGCCTTATAGCCTATGAGAGTTCTCTGTCATGCCTCTGTTTTAGACTAGGATTTCATGCTTTTATTATTTCTCAGTTGGACTAAATGGTAACTGAACTTATCAAACCCCATGGGGACCCCGAAGCACTTTACACTAACATTCATTCACACACTGATGGTGGTAAGCTACAGCCACAGCTGCCCTGGGGCACATTGACAGAGGTGGGACTGTAATGATCTCTATGTTGGTTTAGATTAATCACCTCTTTCACAGGTTGTCTAGAAAACAAATTGTTTAAATGGTACTAAAAAAAACGTGAACACACGACCTGCCTTCCTGTCTGTTTTCAAATTGATTTTAGGATTTTACTGCCGGCTTTTACAGTTTTAAATGGTCTTGTCTAGTCATATTTACTGCATGTGATTTTCTTTTCTGTAACAAGTCCGCTGACATTAATGAGACTTTTAAACCTTTCTTTGATTGTGTATGAGATCCAATAGAGCTAATGGTTTTATGTTGTTTCTGTAATTTATTTAGCTTTTATTTGTTTTGTAATGTATTTATTTTTGTGTTTGACTGAATTGAAGACTAAAACTACAACATCAAACCCTCCCCAGATGTCTCGTAAGTTCAGTCCAAGTTCAGCCGAACGATGAAATGAAGTGGGATCTATAAACAGTTTATTTGTCTCAAACAGATGGTGGCTCGGCACACAGATGACCCCACCGTTTCTGTGTGTTGTGTGCCTGCTTCCATTCACTGTACTGTCAGTTTAGTGGGCTGTGGGGAAGTAGATTTAAGGTGGAGCTGGAACAGGGGTGCACTACGGTCGAGCGGAGCCAAGATTTAATGCGATGAGGTGTGCCTGCTTGGCTGCAAAAGTTAGTCAGAGCATGTCGTGTCTGGATTTGTCTTTTATTTGTGAGATTTTCTCTGGATTCTCATGAGAAAAGAGATTCCTTAGTTTCTCCCGATACAATTTTCTGTGATTGTGTCACATTCATACTTGTAACTCAGAAAAAATTAGCATTATGTGTATTATATCAGTGCATCAACCAGATTGCATTACATGTGCCACCAAGAACACTCAAAGTGGCTCAAAAAGCAGCTGGTTACCTTAAGTTATCATCGGCTGCTGAAATGCTTCATTAAAAAAACTTCTATGCAGCAAAGTGTGTTTGTCTTGTATAAGATGGGCCACAGCAGGAGAATATAAATTAATCCTCACTACCTGAGGCAATGAAAAAGACCTGGTTAATAAATCCCCACGGTCTAGACAAAGAGCTATTTTTATTTGGAAATCTTACATAAACTGTGTCTGCTGTCAGAACTGATGCAATCATTTCTTTTGTCGCACGAGTCTAAGGGGGAATAATGTGGGAAGAGAATACATTTTGCTGAAGGAAAATGTTCCTGTGGTATAAAAAAGTCAGCTTTGTGTTGCAGAAATTTTATTTAGTTCATATCTTTTGTTGCAGCAAAATCCCTGCATTTCTGATGAACTGTTTGTGCATGTGTACCGATGCTATTTGTTGTTTTCTCATCAAAGTTCAGTTTTCTCCAGTTCCCTGTTGCACACGTCTGCATTTCTGGGTCCTCTAAACCAGTGTTTCCCAAACTTCTTATCTTCTGACCCACAAAATATCCATGGCAAAAACTTGTGACCCCAAATATTACTGGTCTGAGTACACAAACTTTGTTAATAACCATAAAAACACAGGCT